GCCTGAATGATATCTAAATCTCAAGAAACCAAAACCATCGCATTTTTTTTAAAATGGCACAAATGTTCCCTTTTGGTGTTTAATTGTGAGGGATTCAGCTGGAAAAAAGCTAAATGAACAATTTACAGGGCAATATTAGTCATATAGTAAATCAACCACACACTGCCACTCAGGTGGAGATTTTTCATTGTCCCTCTGGGTTTGAACTAACTAAAAGAAACCAGTGATTAAAAATCAATATAAAAATTCCAGAGTAACAGAGAGTAATTCTCAAATACACTTATGGAAAACCTGGGGCAGCACAATTCTTATTGTTTAGAGACAATAGAAAATAGAAGCTCTCCTATTAAGCCAGAACATTAGAGACTTTATTTTAAATTGTGGTGATAAGTTTTTACCCGTATTCTGGAACAACATCTGTCTGTATAATTAAGAATGTGCAAAAGGGTGGAGGTATCCATTGACTCAATCAATCAAATCAGCCTATACCATTTAAAGAAACTGACAAGATGCCACCTTCTCATACTTCTGTGAACAACAATACCTCCATGGAATCAATCAAACAGAGCTGTGAACTAGATGTGAATAAGATCTAGTCATTTCTATTGAATGAATGAATGAATGAATCAAAGACTTTAGACTAGATATGATCAGGTTAGAAGTCCTTGAAAGCCATCTGATGACATAGAGCACCATTGCACAGAAAGTATTTTCAGACTGGCTAAGAAAACGTGGCCATGCCCTGTGGGTTTTGAGTAAAATAGCAAGCCAGTTCAGAACCCAAGTATTGAAACTGAGAACCCATACTGGCCTGATCTAACCCCCCAGCCTCCTTTTATTGGGAACCATTATATCCTCAAAACTTTAACTTGGCCATGCCCTATGGGATTTTTATAAAACAGCAAGTCAGTTCAGAACCCAAGCACTCGACCATTTGGTGGTGAAGCCTCCAACCAAGCCTCTGAGAATACTGGCTTGCGGGGAAGGGTTAGGAAGGAGGAGAGCAACTCAGCCTATTCCCTGGCCCTTGACCAGAGAAGGACATCATGAACTTCAAAGAGCTGGAGGGTTTTGACTTTTCAATTGGTGACCTCACAGTTTCTCTGGAACAGCAAGGACTGGTAACAATGCCTGCATCCAGTGAAGTACAAACTAGACATACTGAGGAAAGGGAGCTTCAGGACTCTACGAAGAGCTTAGCAGAAAGCTACAACATGCCCAAAGGGAACTTCATAAACATTCCTCAAGCAAGAGAAAAGGATTTCTAATAAACAGGAGCTGTGAGTTACCCCTTTACAAGGGTGTGCTGGAGCCAGCTCAGACCTGCTTGTGAGCATTTACACCTTGGATATAGGCACATGGTACAAGTCAGTTTGATTTATTGGGGTTTTTTGTTTGTTTTGTTTTGGTTTTTTGTGTAGACTTAACAAAGTGGTAGAGAAAATGTTAATAATGCAAATTAAACTTAAAAGTGCATCATGTACACATTTTTTTTTCAGAGAGCTGATTTTTAAATATTTACTAGCATACCACTGAGCCTTCATCATAGGTTCTATCTAATCTTGAGCCCACTTTTCCTGGATTCTTCATGTATCACTAGGTGAATGAATACAAAACAGACTTTCAGGGCAATGTTTAGTACCAACTATTCTTACTATATCATCTTAATAAATACTCCTTTATAAAAGTTAATTCAGTTTGGATGACTGGTATCAACTGATAATCATGGTGGGGGGAGAAAGTACATTGCTGGGGACTTATGAATTATAGTACTAGAAAGCCATACCCTCCCTCCAACCCTCAGGGCTTCCCATAAGAAACAGCAGCACCTCTTTGGGGACTCAAATGGTCAGTACAAGTGGGAGCTGAGATTGTACTACAGTATACACCACTACACATGCGCTACACACACATACACATACATACATACACACGTACACACACCATTTAAGAAGTTATCAAAAGATAAGATGCACTGTCATATAGAAGAAGGACTCTAAGGGCCTCAGGTTATTCATGTGTAAAAAGAAAGTGCTAGATAAGTTGATTTATTTTTAGATTTAAATTATTTTTAAAATTTTTATTTTAATCTTTAAAATTAAGAAAAAACAAAATAACTCTTCCTATATACAAAGCAGAATAGAGAGCAGATTGTACGTGAAACTGTCAATCTCTTTTAAAGTTTGCTTGCTTTTCCCTTAAAGTATATAACTTTAAGCAATCCTACTTCATCTGTATATCCTTCTGTGCTTTCATCTGTTCTCTTCTGTTCGTTTTTAGACTATTTCAATGATCCTATTTACATACGGAGGACATGCTCCAACTCCCACTTGTACTCACAATTTGGGTGCCCCAGAGAGGGGCTAATATCTCATCTTAGGATTCTAGGGAAAGTCCTACGGACTGGGAGGTAGTTTACTTTTTGGCAACCTATCACTCGTATTCAAACCAAGCTCTTCTGACTCCAAGAGCAATGCTCTTTCCATTATGTCCTATTATTCATAACAAATCCAGGCTACATCTATTTTTGGTTACTGAGATAACTAATTTTTGGTTACTGAGATAACTAATTGGTATTGAATCAATTTTTTTTCCCAACTGGTTTAATAACCACATTCTGTATTAGATGAGTCCTGTGACCATCTGTCTATCTGTAAAGTAAGGCCAAAGTAGCTGATCAGCCATTTTTTGGTCCAATGTTTTTCTGTCTCAGTAGAGATGGATTTAGCATGGATTGTTGAGGTATTTTTTAAAAATGTGAACTAAAATGATTAGATAGTGGAAAATGAAGAAGAGTTAACACTAGAATATCCAAACAGATTATGTTTTGTGGCTCTTAAGAGCTTTCTGCTAGGCCATACTCTGCAGAACTCAGTAACTCCATTTTCATTCTTAGATAAATGATAATAATGCCTTTAATAACTCAGTGATCCCTAATTCCATAAAGCTTTGGATTAACTCAGGTAAGAGTTGGCTACTGGATGCGAAATCAGTAATCTAAATGTTTATGAAGCAATTAAAATTATGAGAATAAAGATGGTATGGGTATTGTAATGTTTGTATGCTGGTTGCAAAAAAAAAGGCAAATGAAATCAATTCTATTGGAGCGCAGGACTAAGGCTGTCAGCCCAGCATGACCGGCTTCACTGCTCCTCTTACGGGGCTGTGATTTCTCTTTTTATCCCAAAGGGCTCGAGCAAAGGGGCCCTTCCAGACCCTAACTGCCTAGGTCCCTGTGCCCCAGAGCTCTCTACTGGGCTACATATGATAGGAAGTCTTCTTTTCTCTAACTTCTAACATGCAATGAATTGAACTGGCCAGTTAATATTTTCCTTTCTTTTTATTTATTTATTTATTTAGCCCCACCACTCCTTGCTTTTTTTTCAATGATTATTCTACCTGGGTCCCAGACACTTTGATCTTAGCTTCCAAACAACAATGAGCTCTTTTTATAGTTGATGCTGGTCAGTTATCATAGCCATTCATATAGATATGGTAATACAGCTTGGTAAATGGGTATTCAAGAATCCATGTGATTTGAAGAGAGGATGGCATTTTGGAGTGGGGAAAGCAAAAGCAAAGAAAGGTCTCTATTAAGGTGGGAAGGAGTGGAGCAGTGAAGAGGTCAAGGTGGAGTTACTTTTACTCTGGTCTCTAAAACACAAAGTGATATTATCTTGGGGGCCCAATATGCCCATTCAACTTAGGAAAATTTTAAGTCAGTTTCCTATCACAAGTCTCAAAGTTTAATCCTTTATGTTCCAGAATCTTATGGGGAAAAACTTCTCATACACCACCCAGAAAATGGAGAAATCACTTTCACCTGAATTAAACCAAAAATTAACAACGCCTCAATTTTCTTGATACTCAGAGAATGAACTAGGGAGTTCTCAGGCTTGATTTGTTTTTTTATGGCAAGATGGCTTATGAGGATGGAAGGCAAAAAGAAATCCTCAGCTATTCAAAATGTCTAAATACCTATTCTATGAGTGTAACAAAGAAAGAGCTGTTCTATTATTATTTAACAAAGTCTTTCTTTTTATTGTATGGTAGAATGGAAGGAATAATAAAATAATATACACTATGACAAGTCAATCTGTCTCATAGTGTATCAGTATCACTATAGGCTGTGTTGTTTTGGTTGCTTAGGGAAAGAAGTTTGAGAAACACAGAGTTTATTTAAAAAAAAGAAATCTTTGTTCTGGTTTTCCAAATGAAATACATACAGCCAAATGATCATGAAAATGAATTCAGTCAACCTCTAGTCTCTTCAATTCCAAGAAAATTTATATAACCACTTCAGTAGCGCATATTCATCAGGAGAATCTCTATTCTGGTTCAATTTTTAGGGAATTTACACAGGTAATACCAATTAGTTCCTAATGGGTGGCATGAATAAAAACTCATAGGCTTGTGAAAATGGACCTTTTTATTCTAATTGAACATTGTCTAATTTTAAAAATGACATAAGCCAATATCTAAATTTCCACCTTTGTGATTTGAACTTGGGAGGGTTGTTAAGGTCAATATATGAAAAAGGTTTCTCGGGCCAAAAATGGCTACAGGTACTTTTCCCCTCCTTCAATATAACTTTCCCTGTGCTAGTGGACAGAAGTCAAATAGAATGTTAAACATTTCATCCTCCAAATTGTAATGATCATATTTTTCCTACAGTCTATTTTTAAATTCAACTTTATTTTACATTTTATATTTTCCTAAGCTCTTCTTCCTCACTATGAAATTTAAATGATGGCTCTACAAAGGGACTATGATTCAGCTAGAGCCAAAGGGACCCTCCTCCTCCCCCTCACACATATATCCCACCTTCTTCCCACCCACCTGACATCTGCCTTCTATGCTTCACTCAGTTAAAACGGATACGCATGTTCTCAGGAGTTCAGCTGCTGAGACTAAAGGGGTAAGCCAAGAACAATCTAAACATGAGAGATGGGAATCTCTTCCCTTTAACTTTCCAACACCACACTATGCTGGGCACTCACCTGGTGGACTCCCATGTCCCGCAGCAGCAGTGGCTATAGCGAAAGCAGAGGCAGGGGAAACGGAGCAGTGGGTATTATCAGCTGTCTGTCCTGTGAGTTTAAAAAGAAAGAGAAAGTCGTGGTGAGATAGGCTGTCTATATTCTGGCAAGAGCACACACTGGATGACTGCCTATATGTAATGGGGGGCTTTTTTAGCCCTGCCCCCTGCCACTTGTCTGCTACTCCATTTCATGGTCTACACAAGTACTGAACAAAAGTGTGGAGCAAATTCTAACCAGTTTACTGTGCCTAGAGACCATGCTTTTAAGTTGGAGACTGCTTAGGAAGAATTAAAATTTCTGTGCCTATTTTTGGAAGCTGGAGGAAGGCTATTCAGCCTTCACCTTTGCACGCCTGAATCATGAGGCTCTTTGTTCAAAATCCCAAGGAGCAACAGATACACAGATAATGTCCATCAGGGAAGACAAGAGAGGTCCTTTAACTTGAAAAACGTAGAGGCATGGGGAGTCTTAACAACCCCATCCTAAGCCCATGAGAATTGGACCTCATTTCTTCGTGAGGTATAATAAAATTAGAGGATAAGCTACAGGATGGATTAGATTCGTTGCAGCTTCCTTTTTCATTTTCTCCTTTATCACCCCCCCCCCAACTGTAATGCTCAAAGATTCCAAAGCATAGATTTGGGAATGGAGGAAATAGATAACATCTTGTTTCCCTACCACTTAAAATGCTAAAAAGTCCAGAGCAAGACCTAGAAGCAAGGGAAAATGTTATAAATATTATAGTCTAGACAGCGAGATTAAGTTTCTCCTGTATATAAGGGAAGACTAATAGGAACTTCCCACTTTGTACTACTTTATGTACCTGCATACCCAGATGGGGCAGCTAGATGGCCCAGTGACTGCCAGGCCTGGGGACTAGAAGACTCATCTTCCTCAGTTCAAATCTGGCCTCAGACACTTACTAGCTATGTGTTCCTGGGCAAGTCACTTCACCCTGTTTGTCTCAGTTCCTCATCCGTAAAATGAGCTGGAGAAGGAAATGGTAAATCCAGCAGCTTTGCCAAGAAGACCTCAAATGGGGTCACAAAGAGTCAGACGCAACTGAAACCACTGAACAATGACAACGTCCCAGATATTCAAACTTACACTGGTAGGTTCCCTATGGATCTGAATCCAGAGGCCCCTGTAGGACTGGTGGACTATGCTCCCAACTGAAAATACCTACGTATCTTGCATGAGATTAAGAAGTAGCTATGTCCCCAAAATGTCATTCCAGCAAATCTAGTTTCAAATATGTACAATTATGTATTATGTCTTTAGTTTTTCTGGTATGGCAGCTGCCTTACCACAAAAAAATCTCCTATTTAGAAAGCATCTGCTACAAGATGGTGGGGAAAATAGACAAGAGGGCAACTTTAATAAGAGCCTATAATTTTGTATCATTACCAGTTCAATTCAACAAATAACCATTAAGCTCATACTATATGATCTCCTCCTCCAAGCATTTTTAAAAACAGAAACAGACTAAATGTGATCCTTCTTGAAGGCAAGGAGATGAATCACATGCTGTCTCATATACATTTCAGTCTTCAGGTTGTAGTGCTGTATACACATCATGTGGTAAAACTTTGCTATATTTCCTTTTTAAAACTTACTTTGCAAAGAACATTTCACAAGTAACCCTAGTCATGGAAACATGAAGATTTTTTTTAAGTACTATATTTCTTATTAGTTACAGTCATGTAATGAAAATACCAGCAAGCCACCGATTACTGTTTTCAAGTACACTGACATGTGGGGCAGCTAGGTGGTGCAATGGATAGACTGCCAGGTATAGAGTCAGGAAGACCCATCTTCCTGAGTTCAAATCTGACCTAAGACACTTCCTAGCTGTGTGACCCTGGGCAAATCACTTAACCTTATTTGCCCCAGTTTTCCCATCTGTAAAATCAGCTGGGAAGGAAATGGCAAACCACTCCAGTATCTCTGTCAAGAAAAAGTCAGACATGACTGAAAAATGTCTCAACAACAATACTGATGCCTGAAACTGGTCTCAGACAACTTATAAACAAGATTGCTCTGTAATGTGAGACACTATTTCTACTTCTTTAACTAAATACACTTAAATATGGAACGTTTAAAACCCAGGTGCACACCATGAAATTTGGATTAGAGCTGCTTCCTGGCAGGAATAAAGTCAAGAGGTCTGCTAGGATTAAAAATTACCCAGGGGCCTCCAAACCAGTCCCTTGTCAAGTTATTCCTGGATCTGAAGGCTCTGAAGGTCTCAGGGTCCTCCAACAGTGGGCCAGTCTACACTGGACACCTGAACCCACTACAGTCACCCACACCCACACAAGCTGACCTACACCTGATTCTGAGGCCCATAATGCAGCCCGTTGGCTTCACTCTAATCTGGGATCGTAGATTTAGAGTTGGAAGGAACATTAGTTGTCACCTACTTCAATCCATTTGTTTTATAGAATAGGAAACAAAAGCCGAGAGAGTCTAAGGGGCTTGTACCACGTCACATAGATGTTAAGGAGCAGAACAAGGAATCAAGCCCAGGCCTTCTGTCTCTAAATCCAGTAGTCTTGTACTAGCCCCTGGTGCATCCCTATATCATTTCACCTCGTATTCAGTGAGAGCTTTTGGTTGACCTCAAAAAGTCAAGATGAAAATCCTCCACTTTTCTAACTGTACTCCACTCACCAACATCTGCTGTAGAATAGCCCCACATTGGGAGTATGAGTACAAGTGTGTCACAGAAGTGTTGGTGTTTTCTTGAGGTTACTTGGGGTGAATTTGGTTTTACAGTTGAATTATTTTCTCTTCTTATTTTATATAATTGGCTTAAGAAAAACAATTCAAAAGCAACTAATATTTTAAAGCATTTGGGCAAGGGAAAAATAATGAAAGGATTTTTGCCTTTTCCTCCGATGATTTCACTTCAATTAAAGCATTTTTCACCATGACCATACACAGATTATTTAATTAAATAGTACCTCTAAATTTTCAGTTCTGTACAGATGATCACTACTGTTACTAATATATACTGTGCTACTGGAATGTTATAAATGGAACAGGACCATCATGGGGTCCTTCCAGAACTAGAAATACAAGATGAACCCACTTTATGTATAAATATATATTACATATATGTAGCCAACATTTATATATCACTTATTACATGCCAGTGACTGTGCTAAGTACCTTACAATCATTATCTCCTGTTATTCTCACAACAACCCTCAGACATAGGCACTATTATTAGCCCCATTTTACAATTGAAGAAACTGAGGCAAAAAAGGGTTAAGTGACTCACCCAGGATCACATAGCTAGGAAGTGTGTGAGGCTAGATTTGAACCCAGGTCTTCCTAACTTCAGGCCTACTGTTCTATCAACTGTACCATGTAGCTGGCCCATTCTGGCATGCATCATGTTGTAATGATGTCCTAGGTACCTAATTTCTTCCCACAAACCCTAAAAACATGTCCCCTCTAGTGGTTCATATAAACTCATCAGATTCTGGAGATAGTTTTCACATTCTTCTCTTGTTTTAACAATCATTTTATGCCTATTATTCAGTTGTTTCAGCTGTGTCTGACTCTTTGTGACCCCGATGGAGGTTTTCTTGGCAAAGATACTGAAGTGGTTTGCCATTTCCTTTTCCTGCTCTTTTTACAGATAAGGAACAAAGGCAAATAGGATGAAGGGACTTGCCCTAGGTCATACAGCTAGTAAGTTCAGATCTGAGGCCAGATTTGAACTCAGGAAAAGGAGTCTTCCTGACTTTAGGCCTAGCACTCTATCCTCTGTGCCACCTAGCTGCCCTTTATACCTATTAGAGTAGGTATAAGACAATTTAACAATCTTGATTTATGTAAAGTATGGTGTAACATTATCCTCCAAAAAGAATGCTAGTGAATAGTGATAATGAATTCTTTAGTCATTTATTTGCTCATTACCCAGAATAAAGTTATTTATGTCTATTACATCCAAGTTATGTGTGTGTTTGTTTGGTTTTTTAGTTGTTGGTGCAGGGATTTGAGGATGCAGAAAATATTTGGAACACTGCATTTTTACATTTCTGAAACTGTTAATAAGGTCTTACCTCCAGGTGGACGATATCGTAAATGTCGAGGAGTCGAAGGTGATCGGCATGGTGAAAGTTCAGCGATGTCCACAGCTGGAGTACTTTCAGATATTGTTCGATCCCCGGACACAGTTTCAAGAACTGCTGCTTTAAAACAGCATAAATTTTAACATGCAGGCAAAGTTTCCAGGTTTTTCCTGACAACAGCGTGCATCATGTTAGACAACGCTCGTTACGCTACATTAGCACCACATATTAATTAATCTACATTCACAGTGCTTTGACATAAGTCAAGTCACTTCTCCTTGAAGTGACTTTTATTTTTTTGGAGAAAATAAATGCCATTAAAGCTAAGCAACTTTTATTACTCAGATATAAGGTACAGATTCAGAACTATGGACACTCATTTGCTTTTAGTTCATTCTATCTGACTATATGGTCATGGTTTCAAAATATCATGAATAGTCAGCTCTTAATTATTCAGGAAAATGGGATAAAATCATGTCAATGAATTATAGTAATATACAGATAAATTAGACTGCCAGATGATGAGGTGCCTCAGGCCTCAGGGACTCAGGACAGCCCTTGATCCCTTTAGACCAGGAAGCCAGCCCCAATTTGCGAGAACTATTTAAGCCATGAACATAAAGGTCCATGAGCCCCTCCCCCTTGGAATTCTGCCACCCCCAGCGCTTTCCAATACACTAAACCTTTTCAAAAATACAAATTATCAGCAAGGGGGTAGAGGAGGTGGGAGGAAAGAAGAAACACTCCAGAACAGAAGCATGGTTAGCCTCAAAGATGAGATGTTTTCTATCTTTGTATGAGAGCTGAACGGTCTAGATCACGGCTTTTTAAACTTTTCCCACTCACGACCCCTTTTTGCATTTTGGCAGTGTCCGTTGGCGCTTCGTGGTGTGACAGCATGCACAATGCACAGTATGCGTGCTTTGGGTTCAGAACCAAGGCTGCAGTAAAGCTGCACAATGCAATACCGGCAAATGTTGCCAGAAACACCTCGGATTCACGACATGTTTGATTTTTAATTAATTTGGGTCATTGTGCATTCAGAAGCCCTTTATTGTTGCCAAATTTTTCATGACCCCATACAGGGTCACGACCCATAGTTTAAGAAGTACTAGGACTCCAGATCAGGGGTTTTTCACCTTTTTTACGTCATGGACCCCTGTGGCAAAATGTATTGCCCCCTTCTCAGAATAAGCCTTTCAGATAGAATTTTCCAAGAAACCAATTATATTAAAATGCGGTTTAAATTTTTATTTTTTTAAAGTTCACAGACTACACATTAAGAACCTCAGGCCTATTACCCTATGGCTTGGGTTCACAGATCACTAGGGAGCACTGACTGAAGTCTGAACAAGGCTCATGGAAGACTCTGGGATAGTTTAGTCTTTCTTAAAACAATTAACACCGCAAGAAAAAGATGATAGGCCACTTCGGGACCACCCTGAAGGGTACAGCTTTGATGGTCCAGTATGCTCTCCACACTTAGACCACCAGCTTAATCTGGCAAAACTCAAACTTCATTCATGTCATTCCAAGTTAGAAGTTCCTTTTCCTGAGTGACAAAAAGCTTAAGCAATTTCAAACCACTTGGTTTCTTTCTTTCTTTCTTTTTTTTTTTTTGACTCAGGTCTTCCAAAGGCTCTTGCTAGTAAAAGCTGAGTCCATCTCTCAGCATACATGTCAGCAAAACCATTCAAATCAACCTACCCTTCTGGCAAAGGACATGGACAGCCAAGACATTCTGATCCTAAGATTCACACTCAACAAGCTTTCCGTGAGCCTCCATAACTCCACGTAAACCATTTCCACACTGCTCGTTTCAGGAAATAAAGCCACATTTTCCCTCTTGTTAGACACAAAAGGGCTGGGAGGAGAAATTTTGAGACTCCTTAATTTGAATGACATAATTACAATAAAGCTGACAAACATACAAGATGCAGCCAGGGAATAACCCCAAAATAAATGCTTAGTTGTCATATTTATTATTTTCTAAATAGTGCCTTCAAAACTCTGTAATTCAAGGCATCTGCTATGAAAAGAGTACAGAAAGGACCAAATCTATGTTCGTAATTTGATTCATACTATTCATTTACTTGAGGGGAGAGAGAAAAAATCATGAGTCAGCAATTACATCAAAACAAAAAAACTTTCTAAGGAGTCAGAGCTGGACTGCATTGAAATAGAGTCTAAAAAGAAAGGAAAACCACCATGAGAATACAACAGAAAGGAGTTATCATCCCTGGAAGAGTAAGAAAAGGGCACATCCATGAGGCTTGTCTACTCTGATCAAGTAAAAGTAGCTCTGCCTAGAGAAGCATGCGCCACCTCATACTCCAACATTGGAAAGAATCCAAGACTTCTTCACACAGGCTCTCCCTGTGGTCCTCAATCCCAAAATATCCATTGCTGAAGGATTCTGGGGGTGGAATGTGTACCACAAGAAAGGGTTAGGTAAACAAATAGCTTTCTTAGGTGCTCTGCTATCAGTCATTTAGCTGAGATTCTACAAAATAGTGGGACAAATATGTGCAAAACATTAGGAGTACTTTCCTTCAGTCTGTGAAGAGGACATATTCTAAGAAACATTAGAAGAGATAAGCAATTCAACCTGTAGGCATACAGCGGAGGGGACCTAAATGAAAACCAGGTAATAAGCTTTGAAGATATGTAATATCCTCTGCTTCTTCTATTCATTTTTGTTTGGTTATCTAGGGAACTGTTCCATTGGCATTTAAAGTAGAGACAGTCATAATGGTATTTAAGAGTACTGAGGTGCAAAAGAACAAGGCAGGAGTGACTAGGGTAGCAGTGGTTAACACGGGTGTGGCTCATACAAATTTGGGGAAGGGAGGTATGAATCAAATTAATGTTGCCTGATGGAATATTGAAAAGTATTTTCAAAACTGTTTTAATCTCTATTTTAGGAAAGATTTCTTCTTTCAAAGAATGCTTCCATTCACTTCTAGATGCCAGGACTGAAGGTATTTGTGAGGATGACATGCTTTTAGTAGGAAAATTGGACAAAGGCTACTTTAGCTAGCATGCGTCAAATTGTGGTGCACTAAGATAGTTTTGTCAGGAAAAAACTGAAGGCCGCAAGCTATCACCTTATCTTCCCCAGGCCCTGGCCTCGCTCTGCCTCCTCCCACTAGAACCACCTACCCTCGGGACCTTGTGCTGTGATTGGTGAGCTTTCATCTCATCTTATCCAGTCTCATGTTCCTTCTTGTATGTTACCTTCTTTAAGAATGTAAGTATCTTGGGGCAGGTAGGTGGTGCAATGGAGAGGGCACTGGCCCTGGAGTCAAGAGGACCTGAGCTCAAATCAGGCCTCAGACACTTGACACTTACTAGCTGTGTGACCCTGGGCAAGTCACTTAACCCCATGGCCTAGCAAAAAAAAAAATTAAAAAAAAAAGAATGTAAGTATCTTGAGGGAAGGGACTATTTTGTTTATTTGTATTCATTTTTACAGCATTCAGTACAGTACCTGGCACATAGTAAATAATTGCTAAGTGTTTTTTCATTCGTTCAGATGGCAGTATAGGAAATCTTTGGCCACAGTACATCCTTAAATGGTGAGGCAGGCAGTATGCAAGTCAAGTGTTTCTGGTATTTCTTCAAAGGCAAAACAGGAAACATATATACTCTTGTTGAAGAATAGCTCATCAGTCATATTTAGTGTTAGCATGATATGAGCACAGGGGGGCACTGTACAAAACAGAAGTCCAATTCGGACAGAGAACTTCTTAGCAGCTGTTGCAAAGGTCCTACAAAAGTCTAGTTTGGGAGAATAGAATTAGAAGTGTCCTTGGCTCCAGATTTAAACAGGGCATACAAAAAAATGCAACATGGTTTGCTTGCCCTAAGTAACGCTGAAATTCTAAAAAAGCCACAGACAATGTACTTGTCAGATTGGGATTAAAATACTTGGGCAAGATGCAATGGGTCACAAAGGTTTTCATCTTCCTTTAACGTCTCTGTCAAATACTACCCTCTCTGTATATACTCCGCACCCCTGCCCCCAGCCATTTCCCTCTCTTGCCTTTAAATGTGCCTGATTCTACATACTGAGAAGGCTGATAGTAGTAGCTTTCATTTTTTTCATATATTTTGAGAAAATAAAGATTTCAGGGGGCAGCTAGGTGGCGCAGTGGATAGAGCACCAGCCCTGAAGTCAGGAGGACCTGAGTTCAAATCCGGCCTCAGACCAAACACTTGACACTAGCCTGTGTGACCTTGGGTAAGTTGCTTAACCCCGATTGCCTCACCAAAAAACAAAAAAAAAAAAAAAAGAAAAAGAAAATAAAGATTTCATTCATCTTGGAAAGACAGCAAAATATCCTGGAAGATGAAGTGAAAGAGACTGAAGGCATGTAGTCTACTCAGAAGCCTCCTATCTGGACATAATGAATACTTTCTTCCAGAAGAGCCTTGGAAGACACTGGACATGGTGAGCACTGAACAACATTGAAAAAACTGAAATTGGCTACATTATGAGACAGGAAGTGACTGAAATGAGAGTCATTTCTGAATCTCTGTTCTGCTAGACAAAGTAAGGCAAAAGTCAAAACCTACACTGAATTGGAGGAAAGGGTAAAGATGAAAACAAGATACTACAGGTTATTATAATAGTTCTAACCTAACCTATTCAAATGAGCTACTGATATAGAAAAAAAATGGAAAATGGACCATTAGAAAGACATCACCAAGGATTACCAAAATTCTCTATATGATTTAAGTTAATTTAAAGTAATCACCATGGGAAGACCAAAAGAGACCAGGAAGCACCTGTCAGTAAACACTTGTTTCCCAGCCTAATTGGATGACACAGCAGCCAGAGGCAACAATCTTTTGTTTAGACTAACCCTAAACGCACTCATTTGCAAATTACTACTAAGAAGGAAGGAAGAAAGAAAATCATAAGCAATAATGCCTCATAAAACAGTGAAGAACAAAGAAGGAGAAAACAGTTCTGGATAAGGCTTGGCATGAGATATGAATTATATCTCATCACAAGTATGTTAAAAGATTAAATTAAAAGAATGAACATTAGATGAAAATTGGAACCAATCTACCAGCATTTTTACAACCACCAATTTTCAAAGTCTGGAAGGCAAAAATGGCATTCAAGGAAATTAAGTCAGAGCAACAGATTATTGACACTACTACTACTACCACTACCACTACCACAACTACTACTAATACTACTACTACTGTAAGCTAGCATTTATACATCACTTTAAAGGCTGCAAAGTGATTTACAAATAATCTCGTTTTATCTTCATGACAACACTGAAAGGTAGGTGCTACTATGATCCCTATTTTTCAGATGAGGAAACCAAGGCAGACAGAAGTTAATAGACTTGTTCAAGATCACATAGCAGTAAGTGTCTCATTCTAGATTTAAACTTAGGTCTTCCTGTCTCCCGGTCTAGTGCTCTATCCACTCTGCCCCACAGAAGAGATCTGTGCTGGAGGCAACACAATACTGAAAGCCTTGAGGGACTGATTTTCTGGGCTGTAGTGGTACTCATACACTGTTAAGAGATCTAAAGGAAAGTCCCTAGAGTACTGGCAGGCAATATTATCAACAATCTAAATTATAGATAATTTACAAGCAGACATAGATAGAAATCATACAAATGAGAAGACATGGATAGGTTGCTACCCAATTCATTAGAAGGAGTAACCACCTCAATTAGATCAGAACTGCCCAAGTCCCATATACTTGGGAAGTGGATGGTAACTAAAAGATGCAGGCTATAACCTATCTCAAAAAAACAAAACCAAAAAACCCTTTTGCTTATGGACACCTTTTGCTTATCTTTAGAGCAGAATTCCCATTTTCTCCAAACCTTAGAACTTCTGCATATCTGAGTTCGATAAACAAAGAACTGGAATTAAATCCACTTAATTTATGTTAGGCACTATATGAGTTATTATGTTAGGCTTTTTATCAATTACCACTTCTAAAAAATGAGCCATCTCAAAACTTAGCACTTACAAAACATGCATTCAATTTAGTATGAAAAAAAAAATAATGTCAGTAGCTCTCTCTTTTGCAAATCATTGGAAAACCTCCAGGTTTCTACAACATTTCTTCACTCTCTCACCATTCCTTGATCCCAGGCTATAAGGAATCAGCACTATAAAGACCTATTAAATGCCGTTCACGCTAATCTTGCCTTCTTTTAGCCTTTGCACTTAAATGACCAAGGCATCCTTCAAAGGTATTCCTAACTAAAAATTTACCCATATCAGTTTCACTTAGCCTGATCTCCTTTAGTCTTCACCAGTGGTATCAAACTCAATCAGAAATGGAAAGGGGGTAAGGGGGGCGAGAGAAGAGCACTAAACCATACATAAGTATTCCCGGGGGCAGTGTGGTAACTTAGGAAGCCACATGTGAACACTATCTTTGTTTTACTGTATTTTCATTTATTTTGTTCAATATTTTCCAGGTATATTTTAATCTGGTTCCCACAGCACTCGGGAAGGTTGCGGAGCAAAGTGGCCCACCAGCTGCATGTCTTGTACCAGACCTGAGGCCTAGCCTAGAACTGGCTTCTGCTTCTTCTAATCCAAGGAGTCTTAATTTCTGATTCGTGACCAGAGCCCAGAAGCCTTAATGATCCATCACTGGAGAGCTTGGGCTAATCATCATGAGACAGGTCCATGATATATACTATAAAACTGGATAGTTCTAAAGAAAAAATTGCTTTTCATAGGCAATTCAGCAGAATGAGGCAGGGTAAGGGATAACTAATACTAGACTATATAAATGACTACGTTAGAACAAGGAGCACATAGGAAGAATACAGTGGCTAAACTGTTGTGATAATTTTATTTTTTTTGTTTTTCTTTCAAAAAAATGAGTTGATTGCATTGCTATGATCAAATTAGCCCCTGGGAGTGGGGGTATAATGAAGAGGATGAAAGATTGGGTGGGAAACAGAAATAACCCAGTACTTCCACCTAGAAAAATCCAGATGGTGAAGGGAGTGGGAGTTTTGCTTGGAACAGCAACGTGAGGTTCTTGATGTTATTGACCAAGGACTATACAATTTTCATCGAAAACCAAGACAGCCACTTTAAATCATCATTGTTCACTGGTCAAAGAGAATGTCTGCGGCAGGAGGTGGGACTTGGGGGTACAATCCTTGAACTTAGCGTCCTAAAATAAGATGCTGATAAGCTCTGGGGTGAAGACTGATAATGTCTGGCATTCTCCAAACATCCCCAACTCAGAAAGTACAAGCAGCTGGTTCATTGTCTTGATCTCACCCCTCTTCTTGACCAGAATAAGTTTAAGAGCTGGAAAGAACTTTCCATTCTGTCTGGTCATCCCACTCTAAAGGGGAATTTTAAGATAAGCCATAGGCTTGCCTCAGTCTCACCCTCCCACCATCGAACTTCTTTAAGCCCTGATGATGATGGGTTCCTGCAGACACTTGTCAAATTGTGTTCCAGCCCCTCATCTCCAGAAGAGTTCATCATCACATAGCTCAGTCCTGTTGTTTGTTAATGGGTTTTTAATTAACCTCCCCGACTCCTCCTCCTGAGTTGCTAACTTGTCATTGTAAAGGATTTTATATTAAACAATACGTTACTTTTGACAATGACAACTGCTTTAGTTAAAACTCCATTAAGCACCTCACTAGGGAGTTTATTTCAATGATTTGAACTAGAAAGTATAGGACTTAAGGGTTGGAGTGGTGGGGGCAGAGAGAGGGATGAGCTTTTATTAGAATGCAACTGCTTCCAATCTGGATACTTCGTTTAACTTCTTATCCAATTTCCATCATTTATCTATTATACTGAAAAATGTAGTTTGTGATAGTCTATAAACACAGAAATTTAGAGCTAGAAAGTAAGATCATCTAATCAATTTCCTCATTTTTCAGATGAGAAAACAGAGGCCCAGAGAGACTTTCCCAACATCATATAGTTAGTCTTTTCACAAAGACAAACAACAAAGGATGTTTTACTGAGGGGAGAAAAATAAAGACAAAATTTACGATTTTCCCCCTGCATCTCTAGTTTTATATGGAATTATGCCACAGGGCTTTAGACTCTTCCCCAAAGCAAATTCAAACCTTCTTAAGAAGGGCTAGTCTTGGGTGAGCTAGGTGGCGCAGTAGATAGAGCACCAGCCCTGAAGTCAGGACGACCTGAGTTCAAATCCAACCTCAGACCAAATACTTGACACTTACTAGATGTGTGACCCTGGGCAAGTCACTTAACCCCAACTGCCAAAAAAAAAAAAAAAAAGAAGGGCTAGTCTTAAAAGTGTAGAACCTAGAAATAGTACCTGATGTTACAAGATGGAAAGAAATGGGAAGCCACCAAAAAAAGTAAGACTGTGACAAGGTCCACAGCCCCTTCAAATTACATCATTCAAAAAATGTCTTTTAAAAAAAATACTAACTTAAATCCATTTTTACTAGAGAGGATATGGGGAGAGGTGGCCCTGTTTACCTCTTACTTCCCTCCCATGAGGACCAAATGAGGACTACAGGATTCTTTCTCCTATATAGCCATTGTATTCCTTCTATGCAGAAGCAGGAAAACTATGGAGGATGGGCACTAAGGTTCCAAAAGGGATGGAGAATAATTGACTAGCGCTGTTCGGGACATGTGGCAGCTGAGTAATACCTCTTCGAATATTTCGTCTTAGCTTGTTACACAGATCCATGCGGGGGTTATCTAAATTCTCTTCTAGAGATCCGGGGCTTTGTTCTGGAGAAGAAGGGCCTCTGCTAAGATCCAATGGTACTTTACCAGTGTGCGGTGGTGGGGATGTAGCAGGGCTATAAGTTGAGGTTGGGCTGCTGGTCGTGGAAGAAGCCGACAGGTCTAGGGCTCCAATTTTTGAGTTCAGGGGGGAAGTCAATGATAGCTTTCTGGCTCTAACAGGGGAAGAAGTTCTGGATACAGCCAATGGGGGTGGAGAAGAGAATTTTCGACACAGATGTGGCGACTTCCCATCGGCCAAGTGTTCACCTCGATTGTTCTGACTGGTAGCAAAGAACAACTCCAAAGACCTGAAAGTAAAAGCAAGTTGTAGCAGAGTTAAAAACGGATTTCCTGGATGTCACTCAAGAGCATTCATTCTATATATAAGAGCTATGATAGGAGAATATCACATTTATATTTTATAGTTTCAAATCCTATCCAAGTATTTTTTGTGCATCTTAGCCATCTCCAAAAAACTTTCATGACACTCTACAGATTCTATCTAATCAATTGCCTAGAAATATTAATAAGTAATAATAATAATTTATATTTGTATAGCACTTACTATATGCCAGGTACTTTGCTAAACACTTTATAAATATCTCATTTTATCCTCATAACAACTCTGGGAGGTAAGTACTATTATTATCCCCATTTTACAGATGAGGAAACTGAGGCAGGGATTACGTGACTTGTCCAGGGTCACACAGCTAGTTAGTGTCCAAGGCCGGATTTGATAGCAGGTATCTTCCTGATTCCAAGCCTAGTGGTCTATCTACTGTGCCAGCTCCCCTTAGGAGACAAGTAGACATAAACAAAGTATTTAACTCCCAAACATAGGGAACTAATAGGCAACCCTGAGCTCTCAGACCTCTGGAGTAAGAATTCTGAGCAATATCTATTAAGTCCCCTCCTCGTCCCCCAATTCCTCTTGTGGCTTGAAGAATAATCACGACACGAAACTCTAAGCGTACCTGACAGGGATAGATGTGAAAGGTCTCTTGTATATGTCAGACAACTTCTCCAGGACCACCGCTGCTGTGGTGAAGATACGGTAAGTATGCAGAAAAGTGTTGAGAAAGTCTATACTGAGAAAACGCAAGTCTGTCAATCTCTCCAAAAGTCTTTCCACGCTGGCGTAGCGAATCTGGGGCACTTTGCAGGAGTTTAATGTTTTGCTAAAGCAGATATCTTTATCGTCTCTGTGAAGACGGGCATCAGACCTACACAATCGATCAGGAAGAATGTTTCAACAACACCACACTCAGGCAGACAATCTAATTCTCTGGAAAAAGATCCTAGTTTTTGTTTTTTCACCATGATCCCACTTAACTTTTTTACTGGAAGATAATAAAAGAGCCAGGTTCATGTACACACACACACACACACACACACACACACACACACACACTACATACCTCATGTCTCAGAAGTCTTAGTGTAGCTCTAAGTTTTATAAAACATTAAGATTTGGGGGATACTTTATGTATACAACAAAAACATGATGTAGGAAGAGAAAATCAATTTACATTTTAGCTTAGAAAAGTCAGAATTTTAACTTTGGGGGTGGAGAGGAGAAACTATATATCAGTCTCTCTGAATCCCTTCTCTTTGTAGTTAACCTGTACTTTATGAGGAAAATAAAACTAAAATACCAGTATCTGTAAAGAAAGGAAGGATGTGAATAGGATGTGTCACAGTGCCTGCATAAAACATTAAAGCTGGAAGGTACCAGTGATTAAACCGTGTGATTTCTAAATTGGTTCTAATATTTAGGATCTGTGATCTGGTAACCTCACAGATCATCTAGTTCATCCTTTCATTTTATAATCATTGATATTTACTTCAGAGCGTCCCAAAAGTCTCAGCACAGCCTTAAGTTTTTAAGAGCACTAAAAATGCTTTCATAGCTTAAAACTATACTAAAACTTCTGGAAAACTGAACACCACACTGAGACTTTTGGAAGACCCTGTATATAGGGTTCCTTAAGGTTTGCAAAATGACTTGGATACATTTAACTCATTTGAGCCTCTCAAAAACCCTGTGAGGTTAGTACTTCAGCTATTACCACCACCACCACTATCATCATCATCATCTTCATCATCATCCTTATCCTCATTTCACAGATAAGGAAACTGAGGTCAAGTCAGAGTTGACCTAACTCACACAATAAGTTTAGTGTCAGAGGTAGGATTTGTTTTTTTGTTTTGTTTTGTTTTTATTTTTTTGGTGGGGCAATCAAGGTTAAGTGACTTGCCCAGGGTCACACAGCTATTAAGTGTTAAGTGTCTGAGGCTGGATTTAAACTCAGGTCCTCCTGACTTCAAGGCCAGAGCTCTATTCACTGTGCCACCTAGCTGCCCCCAGAGGTAGGATTTGAATCCAGGTTCCTCCCGACTCCAAAACCAGGACTCTTTCCTCTCAATGGGGAGAGCTCTTATAAGATGGGTAAGTGAAGTTCGGATAAAGTGACTCATCCAATTCTTTTGAAACTGAATTGTGTTTAAGCATTAACTGAAAATATCAATAGTAAATTCTTCAAGTTCCATGTACAATAAATAGTTAGACATTCTTGAGATTGCATTAGAGGAGAAATTTCCTCTCCTTATTTCTTCTCCATTTATATTATGCTTCTTTTCATGTGGATAACTGACGCTGCTTTGATAGTGGTCCTTGTAAGAGTAGGCCAAATCTTCCACTTTAACCCCAGAGTACATACTGCCAATTGTCAGACATTCAGAAAGGAGAAGAGGCAAAAACAGGCACACAATTTATAAGTTACAGTCTCAGGCCAAAGCAACTGCACGATTTTTCCGAGGAATGCTTGCAATTCTCTCTTTTATTATGACATCTTCAGAACGGGCACTGATAAACACAGTGACCTAAAATCTGTGATTTCACCAAAGGTTCCAGTATTTGCTAAGAGTGAGAACTTTTCAGGTCTAGGAAGAAAAGTCACACTTCCTTGTCTTTAAGACCAGCACCTATCAGTGACCCAATTTCACTCTAAAAATCAATCACTTACTTTTGGAGATACATGTCTTTTATATCTCTGGGGCACTGTTTTGCATGGGGCTATGATTTTTAAAGAATTCAGGAGAATCTTAGAAAAACATGGAAAGACTTACATGAAATAATAAAGAGCTAAACGAGCAGAACCAGGAGAACATTGTATAGAGTATCAGCAATTTTCTTTTAAGAATGATTTTGAGTGAATAAGTCATCTTGACTATTATAAATATCCAAATTAAAGGACCTGTGAAGAAAGATGCTATCTGCATCCAGAGAAATAAATGAGAAATAGAAGTATGCATAGAATAATTATGTGCGTGTATATCTGTGTGTGTGCTTGTGTGTAAGAGTGTATATACATGCATGTATATGCATGTATGTGTATATACGCACACACAGCTATTTATGTGTAATGGTAGCTATCTCACTATCTTTGGGATAGAGAGGGAGAGAAGAAAAAAAGAAATTTACATGCTACCTTTATTATATATTTAAAGGAACAGCAAGTTTTACATAATACATTTGCAGTTTCATGTGCAATCACCTTTTTTATTATACTATGTTATGGAAATGCTTGTTTTATTCTATATATTAAAAATAAAATAAATAAATGTGGAAAAAATAATCCAGAAGAGTTTACTTTCCCAAAGTGAATGTTAAGCAATGTACCTTAAAAACCTATTAACTGTTATCACATTATTACTAATGAAAATACATAATTAAAATATTTAAATTTCTTTGTAACTGGTTGCTGAGTAGTACTATGCTATTTCTAAAGTCATTATTGCTGCATCAGTTAATGACTCTCTACTGTCCTCTACATCTTTCATCAGAACATTTCTTGCCTGACATAATCCTTCTATCTTGGAAACAGCTTCAGTACTTTCCACCACAGCATAGAAAACAGGCCCGTCAACAGATGCAACACCAAAATTAGACTTAACATGAAATTTAGTCTATACCAAAAAATGTTTAAATTTTGATATCAACACTACAGGATACCACTTTAAAGGACACTGTCACCTACTAAATGTGAATGCTTCTATTCCCCATATCATGCTTTTGTACCCTAAGCACCATTCTGACATCTCTGCCTTTTGACTGAAAGCAGATTATTTGAAATACCAGAAGGGGAAAAATTATATCAGCCAAGATGAAATAAAAATGTGACTAATTATAACACTGTCCTTCAAAAATCCTGATTACATTTTCATTTTAAATGAAGCAAAGATATTCAATATTATGAAATTATTTAATTTCATTTTCTTAAACTGAACAGCAGCTCAAGGTTATTATTTCCCAAGAGAACCCCAAAAGCCCTAAACTTTATTTTCCTAAAACTCTTACAATAGTAACAACTTTAAAAAAAAATCTTAATGGCATGATTTTTTTAAGCTAGTATAAACACTGTTTTAAAAAAGAAAAAAAAATGTTGTCAAGGTGATATCATAACAGTAACAAAATCTACCTAACATAGGAGTAGCACAAATACCTATACATAGAATATAACTTGGGCAGCTAAATGACACAGTGGATAGACTGCCAGGCCTGGAATCAGGAGGCTCTGAGTTGAAATCTGACCTCACACACTTCTTAGCAGTGGCAAGTCACTTCACCTTGTTTGCCTCAGTTTCCTCATCTGTAAAATGTGCTGGAGAAAGAAATGGTAAACCACAGCAGTATCTTTGCCAAGAAAACCTCAAATGGGTCATGAAGAGTCAGATACAACTGAACAATAGAGTACAATTACTCATATTTACATAGTGTGTTAAAGTTTATGAAGTACCTTCCTTCCAAAAGTCCTGGGTTTGTGCCACTGTTATTATTCTCTTTTTACAGATGAGGAGACTGAGGCTCAGAGAGGTCATAGGATCATAGTTTTAGACTTGAAAGAGACCTTAGAGGCCACTGAGTCCAATCATCTCATTTCATATAGGTGAGGAAACTGAAGTACAGGGAGGTTATCCCACTTGCACAAAGCTCATAAGTGTCTCAGTCAGGATTTTAAACCTATGTCTTCCTGACTTCAAGTCTAGCATCCTATATATTCATTACTCGATGCCTCCATAGTAATATAGCTCAAAGTCAGAGCTGGGATTTGAATGCAGGTCTTCTGAATCCAAGTTTAGAATTCTTTCTACTGTAAAACACACATACATACACATACACACACACACACACACACACTCTCTCTCTCTCTCTCTCTCTCTCTTTTTCAGTATTATGTACACATGGTAATATCTAAGTCTTCCAGAATAAGATATCCCATAGCTCATGTACAGGAGCTAGGAGTGGAATGGGTCTGTTGAGGAAGGAGTCACTGCCTGGGATAAGATACTCTCCTTCTGTGCACAAAGACCATTCCACTCAATGTGATGAAAAATGAGCTCTAGGAAGTTAAAATGTCCACAGCCTTTGTGGAAATTACAGGAGAAAGACAAGAAATTTCTAGAATTTTATTCTGATATATCTGTATCTACATACAGATATCTATATAGCTCTAAATGTGATAGATTCAGGCTGAGACAGAAAGAATGAGCTACAGTGAGAGTAAGAGTCTTGTCTATTGTGTCAAACTGCAAAGAAAACTAAAAAATTTAACAGATCATCAAGGTGTTTTGATGCCATTATGTCAAAAGAGGGAAACACCCAGACAAGTGGAGTTTTCCATCGTTTATCTAGGCTGTTATTCAGCCAATCAGTAAGTCCATTAGTATTTGCTATGTGCCGGGCCCTATTCCGGCAGACACAGCTTGTGGCTATATTAGTACAAAGCAAAAATTTGTTATTAACAGTGAACAAGAACAAAAGTCATACTTGCACCATTGCCAACTTTTAGAGGGTTAGAATAAGTGTAGGAGAGGCATAGCAGTCTGACTCAGGAAGACCTGAGTTCATATCCTACCCCCAGGCAACTCTTTATAATTATAAATGGAAGAGAAGATGCCAACCTGCAAGGTAGACGGAGTTTAGTTTGCTCACGCAGGAGTTTCCTGTACCAAGGAAATCACAGCTCCAGTACCTATTCCTATCTAGAATTCAACAACCAGAAAAGCCAAGCAAATTTATTTTTCATGGGTAGAAGGCATTTCCCCACCTGGGGTTCTTTACATCAATGAAATTGCAAGTCTAGCATTGGGGGGGGGAGCCCACCCCCCCATCCCCCATACTTATAAGTCAAAGCTAACATAATTCTGAAGCAGGATGGCATGTCATGGTTGTCTAACTATTGAGAAAATATTTTTTAACCCAAAACAACATTAGCACAAATCAACTTATGAGGGACTAAATTAGGCAGCCTAAAGCATAAAACTAAAGTTCATTCAACTTGGGGAAAAAGGTTCATTTTTTTTCTTTAAAATTGGTTTGAGTATAATAATATATCTAACTATGACTTTTAAATTTTAATTTTATATTTCATACTTATTTTTAAATTTAGCCTTTTTTTGCATTTTTTTAAGCCAAACTAGCAAAAGCCTAGAAAATATAGCGCTGAAGGAATCTATAGCTGTTAATACTGAAATCAGCTGATTGCTAATCAGTTTTTCTTAAGATTAAAATCAAACCATTTCAGTACTTAGGTGCTTATCTATAATTAAAGTAGTATAGATTTTTCTCTAGTGCTTGTATACTTGTATTATACACTTGTTTTTATCTGACACGGTGCTTATTAAATATTAAGACTTTCACCACTGGGATGGTGTTTAACTGGGGTTAATTCTTACAAATGTAGAAAAGCAAGGAATCCCAGAGGAAATTCCATATTCATCGTTTTTTGCTACATGCAGAAATTATTGCTTCTCCACCCTCAAAAAAAAAACCAAAACTCTCTTTCAAGGGAAAATGGAAATTTTTTAAAAAATGAAGAGGATAAGCATCTTTGAAATAGTTGTTACTGCCTGGATACAATTAATTAATTCTATCAGATACTATCCATAATCAATCAATCAATCAATAAACATTTAAGTGCCTACTACGTGTGAGGCACTGTGTTAAGTTTCCATAAACTGTAGGAGAAAAGAAGACAAGATCTCTCATTACCACCACATGGGTTTTCCTGAGAAGTGGAACACAGTTGATCATATGATGACCTTATTAGCTCACAGCCCCTGATGTCTCTTCTAACTGTAGAGCTATAATACTATATATCTACCAAAATATTTCAAAAGTAGTTTTTGAAGAGGGAAAAGAAAACAATGACAAGCAGTTGCAAAACTTTAATCAGAGGGCAAAGAATCTATAGAATAATCCAGTTTTCTTTGCAATCACTTTAAATTCCAGATTTTGCTTTGTAGTACTATGTTGGAAACCACATCAGGAGGTGGGGGGAGGGGTATGGAGGCTGGGAGAATGGCCCTAACTAACAATAATAGGCTAAGAAACATACAACAAATAATCTCTCAGTACTCTCTATATACTAGAAGGAAAATGGACTTAGTCATATAAGTCATTCTGACTTTCTTCAAAACTGATACTGATCTGGAGTCAAATCAACTATAATTAGCATAATTTGCATGAGTTGTTAAAACTAACAAAACAAGTAAACCCTTGCTTCTTCTTGTCTGTAAACACAGGTCAGTGTTGGCTCTCATGATTATCTCTTTTAAGATAACCCTATCACTTTACCAAAATTGAAGGAAAATTCAAAAGTAGGACAAACAATCAATAGTCAATGATATCTTTGCAGAAACTTTCTAAAAACTTTCTAATTCTTTCTTGGAAAGAATTTTTACAGCCAGTGTCTCTGATAAAGGCCTCATTTCTAAAATCTATAGAGAACTGAGTCAAATTTATAAGAATACAAGTCATTTCCCCATTGATTAATGGTCAAAGGATATGAACTGACAGTTTTCAGATAAAGAAATTAAAGCTATCTATAATCATATGAAAAAATGCTCTAAATCATTGTTGATTAGAGAAATGTACATCAAAACAACTCCAAGGAACTACATGATACCTATCAGATTGACTAACATGATAAAACAGGAAAATGATAAGTGCTGGAGAAGATGTGGGAAAATTGGAACACTAATGCATTGTTGGTGGAGTTGAGAACTGATCCAACCATTCTGGAGAGCAATTTGGAACTATGCCCAAAGGGCTATCAAACTATGTGTAGCCTTTGGCCCAGCAATACCACTTCTAGGTCTGTATCCCAAAGAGATCATACAAATGGGAAAAGGACTCATATGTACAAAAATATTTATAGCAGCTTTTTTGTGGTAGCAAAGAATTGGAAATTGAGGGGATGTCCATCAATTGGGGAATGGCTGAACAAGTTGTGGTATATGAATGTAATGGAATACTATTGTGCTGTAAGAAATGATGAGCAGGCAGACTTCAGAAAAATCTGGAAAGACTTGAATGAACTGATGCTGAGTGAAATAAGCACGACCAGGAGAACGTTGTACACAGTAACAGCAACATTGTGTGATGACTAACTTTGCTATACTCATCTCTTAGTAATGCAAGGACCCAAAGCAACTCCAAAGCACTCATGATGGAAAATGCTGTTCACATCCAGAAAAAGAACTATAGAGCTTGAATGCAGATTGAAGCATATTATTTGCTTTCTCTTTTTTTTTCTTTCTTGTGGTTTTTCCCATTGATTCTAATTCTTCTTCACAACATGACTAATGTGAAAATAGGTTCCATATGAATGTATATGTAGAGCCTATATCAAATTACATGCCATCTTGGGGTGTGGGGAGGGGAGACATGGGGGGAAAATTTGGAACTCAAAATCTTATGGAAGTGAATGTTGAAAACTAAAAATAAAGAAATAAATTTTTAAAAAATAAAAATGGTTGTGACAGGACAAATATGTATCAGTGTTTCCCCACAACTTAGGGAAAGTTCAGAACTAGGTCCATCCCTCCCCACCTCTCTCTACTTGGGTGAGGCCCACCTTCTTCTTCTCCTGCCAATAGGGATTAGTTTTCCCTAAAAGGAGACAAATCAGATCCACAGAAGCTGATTGGCCTGTTTCCCTGATGCTCACCTGCTCATAAAAAGTCCCACCCGTACGGAATCTCACTTGGTGAATTTTTGAGCACATTTTTGATGTGAATCACCATATCCTACCCAGGTGAGTAGGCATGCTTCCATATGAAGACAAGAAGGACTGTACCCAGAAAAGCAAAATATCACCATCTTCTTGTATAACCTTGCTGTGTTAGGGCAAAATAACCCTCCTTTTTTTTTTTTTGTTTTTTGTTTTTTGTTAACAGTTCAATGACTTGTGATGGCCTCATCCGGTCCCAAGATCAAACCTGCTCTAAGAGAGGGTTGATGTTGAGCCTGCCTCTGGCAATGACCATCATTCGTAAAAGCTGAAACAGGGCATGACAGCAGCTAGATCAAGTTTGGCAGGTCGGATGACACAATTCTCTGCTATTGCTGTTCTAGTAGCCACACCTTGTCTAGCAGTTTGACCTTGGTTAAAAAAATGAGTGAAGAAAAAGGCTACACTTACTTAATCATATGCGGCACAGTCACTTTGGAATTTTCTTCAAATACTATTGTCATTAAACCATTGCACCGAATGTTGTCGACACACTGTGAAAATTGAAAAAAAAAGACAACATAAAAACAGTAATTACAACTTAAGGCAGATGGAGGCCAATGAACATTTACCATGTTTCTAGGGTCCTGGATTTTCAGGACTGAAAGAACCAAAAATACCATTTCTATAGATCCGTGATGATGAAACAGCAACGGAACTGGAATCAGAGGACATGGGTTCAAATCTGACCGGTGTCATATACTGTGTGACCCTAAACAAATCACTTTCTAGGCCTCAGTTTCCTCAGCTATAAAATGATAAAGTTAGATGAGACGGTCTCTACTTTCTAGTTCAAAAGCTCTGATCTTATGCCCCTTTCTGCAGTCATCAAACGCTGAAAAGCTGGTACAGACAGAATAATTTTGGAAGGGTCCATACTTGTTATTTCACTTGAGGTAGAGAATTTCTGGTGAAGAAACTCCCTCTACCAATGCAAATCAGCAGTTGTGCTACAACTTACAGTCTTAGAGTGTTTGGGGCTTTGAGAGGTTAAGTGATTTGTCTAATTTCACATTGTTATTGTTGTTGTTCAGTCTTCTTAGTCGTATCTGACTCCTCATGACCCCATTTGGAGTTTTCTTGGCAAAGATACTGGAGATGTTCTGCCATTTCCTTCTCCGATGTGTTTCCCCTTTTATAGGTGAGGAAACAGAGGCAAGTAGTGCACTGGGCTTGTAGTCAGAAGACCTAAGCTCAAATTTGATGTCAGACTCTTGCTAACTATATGTCCCTGGTCAACTCATTTCACCTCTGTTTGCCTCAGTTTCCTCTTCTGTAAAATGGGGATAATAGTAGCACCTCCCTCTGAAGGAATTAAAACAATAAGTAGTAGTGGGAATTGAGTAAGCCACACTGACTCCATCTTGTGACTCAATTCTGGAGCTAGCCCAGTTCCCTTTCTATTCAGTTATGGGTCTAGTCCAATTTCTGTCTTACGAGAAAACTTTCTTCAATTGTGAGAATTGTGAGATAATCTTACTGCATTGTTTGCACCTTACTCTGCATGACTGAGAAGCTGGACCATCTCTGCTTGCTGCTTAGACATCCTTAACTAAGGACCTAGGTTATGCTGACCAGAAACCCACTCAAATCCAAAGGCTGACACGAACAGTTTTCTCACAATTGTACATCCCAAGCAACTCATACCTCTATCTGAAAACTGGCCACGCGCTAATTAATCAGTTATTGTTTCCATGTTCCTTTGACTGAATACAGGCACTTGGGGAGAGTGGGACACCTCTTTTTATGATTTCAGGGAATTGTACCTGTGTGCTTTCCCTGTCCCAACTTGGAAAATCCCCAATCTTTCCTCCAATTAGAAATCAAGTTACATAGTTTTGTACCCTAATTAATTGCTTTCTTTTAATCAATTGACCTTATTTGATTAGTTATTTTTAATGTAGAAAAAACTGTCTCCCCTTGTATTTGGTTGGGGTCCAGTGCCAAAGCTGAGGAAGGCCTGGAAGAGATCTGGTATGCAATTAGTATTCATTACTTAATAAATAGGCTCAGAAGCTCAAACCTCTGTTTCCTCTGTCACTTCATCTTTCATCCACCACACCTCTCATGGTTGTTATGAGGATCAATGAGATGATAATTGTAAAGCTTTTGGCACAGTGCCTGGCATTCATTGGGACTACATAAGGTTACCTGTTTTTGCCGTTATTATTATTATTATTTCAGCACAATAGAGGTTAAATTAATTATTAAATTCACGGCCCTCACCCCCTTTGAATAGTCCTATATTGCCACCAGGTGGTTGCCCTAGTGTCAAGTTTCCCTTCCCTTAGGGCAGGGGTGAGGAACCTGTGGCCTCGAGGCCTCAGTTTCCCCACCCCTGCATGAGGGCATCAACATTTTAACATACCAGAAGCCATTTGCCTGCTCCTCACCTTCCTGTTGCTAACCAATAAGGCTGCCATCAAACATTACTCAGTTTCTTTCTCTGGTTCTCTCATTGATTCCAGAACAATAAAATTTAATGTAAAAATGTTACAATAAAATACAACAATAAAATGTTGTGGGAACTTCCTGGGATGGTGAGTGGGCCAAAAGGGAGTAGATGGACATAACCTGCCCAGGAGCTAAGGCTGAGTCAATTAGATCCTGATTCATGGTTCCAGAACTTGGGGGGGGGTGGAGAAAAAGGGTTACAAGTGCCACAGCCAGGCATCATGCAGAAGGAAAAGATCTAAGGCTTGAGACAAGTCTTGAGAAAGAAAGATTCCACGAAGCACAGCTAATGAGGGAGTGTGTTCCATGTGAGAGACAGCAAAAGGTTGCTATGTGTGGGGATTTGGTTGGACCACCTAATGTAGGGAGAAGGAGAATAATGTACAATGAGGCTGTAAAGATGGGTTATAGCCAGCTTATAAAGGCCCTCAACAGTAAAAAAACAGATCATATTTTGTTCTAGAGGCCATAGAGAGCCAATGGAATTGACTGATTAGGGGGTGACATACTTAGATCTGCACTGAAGGAAATTACTTTGGTAACTGGGTGGAAGATGGATTAGATTGGGGAAAGACAATGCAGGAAGAACAATCAGGAGGTGGTAATCTGGTGAGAATTGAAAAAGATTTGAATGGCTTTGTGAGCAGACAGGAGAACTACATAAGAAATGTTGTGGGTATAGAAATGGCAAGATTTGACAACCGACCAGAAATGTGGGATGAGGAAGAGTGAGGAGTCAAGGAAAGTAACAAGGTTATGAACTAGGGAGACTGGAAGAACAGCTGTGTCTTTGACAGAAATAGGAAAGTTTAGAAGAGTGGTGCCTTTGTAGGGAAGGATAACGAGTTCTGTTTTAGGCACATTGAGTTTTAAATGTCTTTGGGACATTGAGTTTGAAATGTCTGAAAGGTAGTTGGTGATGCAGGACTGATGCTTAGGAGAGAGACTGAGGGTGTCCGTATGTATATAGACATATACATATATATGTTTATCTTTTTGAGTCATCTGCACAGAGATGATACTTAAATCCATGGGAGCTGATGAAGTCACTGACAAAGCACACGGAGAGAAGAGGATGGAGAAGAAAGCCAAGGGAAACGATATGGATGATGAAGTAGGAAAGGAGAGGGACAGAAGGTCAGATAGGTAGGAGGGCCAGGAGAAAGCAGTGTCTTAAGAACCCACAGAGGAGAGAACATCTGGTGGTCAACAGAGGCAGCTAGAAGCCACAGTGCTGGGTCTGGAGTCAGAACACACGAAATCAAATCCAGTCTCTGACACTTACTAGCTATGTGACCCTGAGCAAGTCATTTAACCTGTGTTTGTCTCAGTCTCCTCAATTGTAAAATGTGAATACTAACAGCACCCACGTCACAGGGTTGTTGTGAGGAGCAAATGATATACACATGCGCATACACATATACATACATACACATACATATACACATATATATACATATATACATATATATATGTAAGTGCTTAGTACAGTATCTTGAACATAGTAGGCAGCATATAAATGCTTTTCCCCTTTCCTTCCCCTTAGAGATATCAAGAATAATGAAAACTATGAAAAAACTTTTAGATTTGGCAAATAAGAGATCATTTGTAACCAAAGAGAGCTATTGCATTTGAGTTAGGAGAATCAGAAAGCTAGACTGCATAGGGTTGGGGAGTGAGAGGAGAGGAAAAGCCGAGGAAATTATAAGAATACAGATTTTTCTAAAAGTTGCACTAAGAAAAGGAGAAAATCTGTAGAATAATAGTTTGAGGGGACAGTAGGATCTAGTGAAGTTCTTTTAAGAAAGGGGACACTTAGGTATGTTTGTAGACAGCACAGAAGGAACCAACAGGCAGCCAGAAGAAGAGCTTGAAGTCTGGGAGAGAGGCCGGGAATATCATCATCTTGTGCCTGGGCTATCATTCTTATTCCTGGTGTGGACATGAATTTTTTTTAAAACCACAGACTTGCTCCTTTATAAAAACCATTTGCTTGTAAGTGCTGGGGAAAACAAATAAGCATAACCAAATACCCAATTCAATTTAGACATCAGGCCGCTGGAGTCAAAACTAATTACTAAATTGATGAGAGTTCTGATGTCTTTTAAAGTTTTTTTCCTTTATACTCTTGTGGTTAATGTATAAATTGTTCTCAATTCTTATTGATTTTACTCTGCATCAGTTCATACAGGTCTGTCTAGGTATCTATAACTTCTTCACATCTGCTGTTTCTTATATCACAATAGTATTCCATTACATTAATATAGGACAATTTGTAGTTTGAATTTTTTTGCTACTAAAATATTTTTGCCATTATAAATATTTTTGTACACATGGGATCCTTCCCTCTGTCTTTGAGGGGTATATGTATGCCGAGTAGTAGAACTACAGGGTTTAATGACTTTTTTTGAATAATTCCAAACGTGTTGCCCAAGTGATTGGAACAATTCATAGATCCACTAGCCCTATAAGAATGTAACTGGTTTTTTTTTCATGCCATTTCCAATATCCATCATTTTCATCTTTGAAAATCTAATTGAAACTTAAGTTGTTTCAATCTATATTTTTGTTTTAAGAATTTGGAGCATATGGCTATAGATAGTTTGCATTTCTTCTTACAAAAATTGCTTGTGCTTTAACCACTTACCTTTTGGAGAATGACTTTTGCTACATATTTATATCAGTTTCCCATATATTTTATCAGACTTCTATCAGACATAATTGATATGAAGCTTTTTTTCCTATTTGACAGTTTCTTTTCTTATTCTAGTTGCACTAATTTTATTGCAAAAGCTTTTTAATTGAAAGAAATCAAAATTGTCTGTTGTATACTTAGTTATCATCACTATGCTTTATTTGGTATTCTTCCCCTAAGCAAGACTGTGAAAATAACTATTTCCATTCTTTTCTGATTATTCTCAGGTATCTATCATTATTATAAACCCTTCTTTTATAATATAAAACAAAAGAAAAGAACAGGAAAAAAATCGTTGCAACCGCAAACCTCATATACAGAGGTTTGGGGGTTTTTTTTGGGGGG